AAAAAGATGAAAATGGCATCCAAACTTTAAATATTTCTAGAAATAGCCTGATTATTTTAAGATCCTGTATATGAGCTGGATCTGATGTCATAGTCAAGAATCACCTTGATCCATTTCTACTTCATTCTGCTGCAACAGTCACAGTGGAACAAGAGCAGGTTCCAGCCCATGAGAAGAGAAATATAATTCTTTATCATGTGATAAGCAATTAAAATGGACACAGTTCTAAAGGAAACACATCTGTCTTCATCATGGCTACATAAGAATAACACTTTATAGGTTCATGAATACAAACTTTGCCAAATGCCAAAATAGTAAATGAAATATCTGGAAAAAACACCAGGTCCAGGCCCAGTCCAGACTACCAGGTTCACAATGAATTGAAAGTCAGTAGAATCCACTGAAAATAGAATGGGAAATCTGGAGTAGCTATGGCAGAGAAAATGAACGTAGATACAGGCATCCGAGACCCTTAGTGCATAAGTAAGACAAAGGGAGAAATCAAACTGTCATCTCAGTTCTGTCATGGGGTGCAACATTCCAATCAGGTCTAGAAGACGTTCATTCACTGTTGATGGGATTGCAAACGTGTGCTGCCACTGTAGAAATCTGTGCCGAGAAATCTCAAAAGCTAAAAAATAAAAATAAAAATACCACATGGGACAGCTATTTTGCTCCTCTGAATAGACCCAAAGGACTCAATAGCCTGCTGGAGAGATACTTGGTCTTATTCAAAATAGCTAGGAAATGAAATCAACCTAGAGACCCACACTTCAACTGATGACTAGACAATGAAGATTTGGTCCATATGCACTGTAAAATTCTATTCAGCTGAAAAAAAAGAAAGAAAGAAAGAAAGAAAGAAAGAAAGAAAGAAAGAAAGAAAGAAAGAAAGAAAGAAAGAAAGAAAGAGAAATTAATTTACAGGTAAATGGATGAAACCGGAAAACATTATTCTGAGTGAGGTAATCCAGACACACAAAGACAAATGTCACATGTTCTTTCTTACTGCTGGACCCCAGCTCCAGTTCTTCAGGAGAATATGACCTGAAGCAACTGCAGAAACCAAAAAGTTCAAAAGTAATATGGGCGGAATGTGAGGGAAGAGCTCTAGCCCTAGAGAGAAGGACAGTAGGACCGGTGCTATAAGGAGAGAAATGGGAGAAACGGTGTGGGGGCGTTAACTGGGAAGAGGAGGGGAGGTAACATGGGAGGGAGAGAAGGAACGGAGAGATAAATGACAGTAAGGATGTTTGAAGAAGGCTCCAGCTCCTCCAGAGACTGCAGAGAGCCTGGTGTTAGTGCAGCAACAGCAGCCATAGCCTAAGAAACAAACTCCTGAGGGAAGCATCAGGCCCCAGGCACCAGGCTGTAAGGACCACAGCAGCACCCAGAACTGGTAGAAACATTTGACAAGTTAAGTGTCTGCACAGGGCTCAGGCTTGCACAGTGTTCTCTAATGGGTCTTCCTTTCTTTCTGTGTTTTCATTCAGCCAATCTGGGCCCAGCTGATGTCCTATGAAATTGGGCTTCAGACAGGAGGGTGACAGGAGGACAAAAGGAAGGAAGCTGCCTTCAAACTGACCAGAAGGGGCTGGCAAGAGGGCTTAGTGGGAAATGAATTTGTTGCCAAGCCTGAAGACCAGAGTTCAAATCCTTGGGATCCACGTGCAGAAGTAGAGAACTGACCCTGAAAGCTGTCCTCTGACCTCCACATACACCATGGCATGTGTGCACACATCCATGAACATAAGTGAATAAAGAAATGTAATTTTTCAGAAAAAAGCCAGATGAGGTACAGACTAAACCTAGACAAAGTGTCCCTTAGCCTAAGGTGTCTGCCTCCAGCTCACTGGAGCCAGTGTTCAGGACCTGTCCTACAGCTGTGAGACAGGGGACTGGCTCCTCCCTCAGCCTCTGCTGCTGCTCCTGCTGTCTGCAGACACGAATTCATTCACAAAGATCCAGACCTCCAGCTCACTGGAGCCAGTGTTCAGGACCCGTCCTACAGCTGCGGGACAGGGGACTGGCTCCTCCCTCAGCCTCTGCTGCTGCTCCTGCTGTCTGCAGACATGAATTCATTCACAAAGATCCAGACCTACTGCTTCAGAGACCTGTGGTATTATCACACTTCTCAGAGTAGTAATGGATCTCTGCTAACATCCACCACTACCAAGAGTTCAAATCCACTCCAAGTGAATCATAGAATCCCATGTGGCAATAGGTTTTTTTTTTTTTTCCGTTTAAAGTTGTTAAACCAGAGTTAGAAATGAAACACCTTTGTTAGACTGCCTATAAGGCTTGAGGTGTCGCCATTACCATCCCATGTGGCATAACTCCATTTAATATATCCATTTATCACATGATCACTAACATGACTGGCCAGGTAGGAAAACACCAGTGCTTCAATAAGCAGCACTTATTTCTCGGGGTGACCAACAGATGTCCAGTTGGACTTTATGTCCATTGAATAGTAATAAAATAAAGTGAAATATGCTATCTGCCTACTTCATTCTTGCTGGGTATGTCTTTCTGTTTGCTGTGAATGTGTTGCTCTGATTGATAAATAAAACACTGATTGTCCAGTAGCCAGGCAAGAGGTATAGTATAGGCGGGAAAAGCAAAGAGGAGAATTCTGCAAAGTGGAAGGCTGAGTCAAGAGTCACCAGGCAGACACAGAGAAAGTGAGGTGTAAAAGAATCAGTAAGCCACAAGCCACATGGCAACTTATAGATTAATTGAAATGGGTTAATTTAAGATATAAGAACTAGATAGCAATAAGCCTGCCATGGGCATACAGTTTACAAGTAATATAAGTCTCTGTGTGTTTACTTGGGCCTGAGTGGCTACAGGAGCCAAGTGGACACAGGAAAACTCCAACTACACATTCTTAGGGACAGCTGCTGAGAAATTAGTTGGAGATGTGTAGCTGGAGAGTTTTCTCTGATTCCCACCAAGCCCCAGCAGTCTGACAGCCCAATTATAGAATAAACACACAGATGCTTATATTATTTAAGCTGTTTGGCCTAATGGCTCAGGCTTCTAGCTATCTAGTTTGTATATCTTAAATTAATCAATTTATATAAATCTATACCTTGCCACGTGGTTCATAGCTTACTGGCATCTTCACATGCTGCTTGTCATGGCGGCGGCTGGCAGTGTCTCCCTCCACCTTCCTGTTCTCTCAATTCTCCTCTCTGTTAGTCCTGCCTATACTTCCTGCCTGGCTACTGGCAAATCAGTGTTTTATTTATTGACCATTCAGAGCAACACATTTGACATACAGACCATCTCACAGCAGAAATGGTCTTTGCTTACCATCCTAGTAGTCAGCAAAGTTTCTCTGTAAAGATGTGTGTGTGTGTGTGTGTGTGTGTGTGTGTGTGTGTGTGTGTGTGTGTGCATGACTGAGATGTAGAGTGCACATTTTTGAGAACTAGTGACATCTGAAATCCCAAATAATCACAAGGCTTGATGTTTATTTTTATGTGTTAAACTGTCAGGTCCACAGCTGAAAATCTATTTGGTCAAACTTTTTACTTTTTCTGAATACTCCTGTGTCTGCAAATCTCATTCCCCATGAAGGGATCTAGTTCTGGAAAAGCACATTTCTAGCCACTTCAGAGAAGTTACTACATTAAACAGCAGCAAGATCTTTACTTGACACAATTTATTTTTTAATGATATCTTACAAGGAATTGAGAGAAAGTAAACTTCTCTAAAATTCCAGAAGTCATAGGGATGTTTACACCACAATATTGAAATATATGTAAGTATTTTAAAATAAGACCATGTTGCTTCAAAATATCTTCTGGACATGGTGGGGCTGTGACAGCAGCTATAGTTGCTTGCACAAGATATGCACACTGTCAAGTCAGTCGACACTCCAGCAGGGGGAGGCAATGAGCTCAAGAGACCCCACCCCTAGCTGAGGAACCCTTATCAGTTGGGAGCTGGCCACTGACAGAGGGAGAATGTATTTTCTATGAGGGTGTGGCTCATGATAAGTTGTCCAGCTCTAATATGTGGTGTTCTATACCCGTGGACTTGAGGCCAGCACCAATTGGATTCAGATATTAAAAGGGGGGAGAGGAGCAGTAGGAGGATGAAAAGGAGGAAGAAGCTGTGAAGTTGGGAATGGAATTTGAGGGCATCATAGAGGAGTGGGAGGGGGAGTAGATACAATCTAAATACATTGTATTCATGTATGCAGTAGTAAGGGTCCTTGAGTATCTTCACTCATATGGCTTATTGTCAATCTTGACAGTGTATTCCTTTAAAAATTATTTTAAGCATGTGTATGTGTCAGGGATACATGATGGGAGTACTGGTGCCCTTGGGGGCCAGAAAAGGAAGTCAGATCCCCTGGAGCTGGAATTACCGGGATTTGTGAGCCACCCCATGTGGGTGTTGTGAACCAAGCTTCTCTGGAAGAGCAGTGTGCATTCTTGACCACTGAGCCATCTCTGAGGTGTCCACCTCTCACTTTCTCCATGAGTCCCTTAAACTCCATACTATCATTTCTCTTTGAATACAGTTTCCCTCTTACTTTGCAAATGTATAAATATAACAATGGCACACATAAATTATATTGACTACCTGGGAAAGTAATATTTTGATATGTTGGGTTAAATAAGAGGTATTATTTAAATTATTTTTTAAAGCCACAAAACAAAAACAGGATTAAGATGCCAACATTATACTTCCTGGCACTCAGGTCCGCAGCTTAGCTGTCTTTTACAAGCTTCTGCCATTTCTAGAAACAGAAGTTTCATCATACACTAGTGAATTTTAACTTACTGTTCTTTTAAAATGTAAACACATTGTTTTCCCAGCATTCTTCATGGAACCTATAAACTGAGTATATAATGACATGCATGTGCCCATCAACATCTAATTCCAACTTGCTCTCCCCAGAGGAAGCCAAAGGATCAGGTTTCTCATGAATCTTCCAGAAGGCTTTTTTTTTTTTTGTGCTCCTGTGCATTTGCATGGGATAGTAGCATTTTTAATAATAAGCACACTATTACATGGTGTTTTCACTTTATTTTATAAGGAATCTTTAAGCTCAGTTTACATTAGTATACAGAAAGCTTGACTGACATTTGTTTCTTGACTATATAGTAATCTAGGATCCAGACATATTAAAATTAGTTATCAATCTGATTCAACGATGTTTAAGTAGTTTCCTAATGTATCACCATTATGACAATATCAATGACTTTTCTTCTTGTTGTGACAAAACACCCCAACAAAAGCAAGATTAGAAAGAAATGGTTTGTTCTGGTTCATGGTTCCAGATGACACATTGAGCATGTTGGAGAAGGCATGCTGAAAGAAGTGGAGGCTGGCTGATCACAGGACATCCACAGTCAGGAAGCCACAAGAAATGAACGTTAGTGCCCAGCTTTCTCTCACCTTTTAACTAGGTCCCCAGGCCACAGGAACAGTGGTGCCCACACTTCAGATGGGTTCCCTACCATAGCAACTTGAGATGATCCCCCACAAGCTAACCCAGTTGAGATGGTCCTCATAGGGTACAGAAGAGATTGTGATCCCCCACAAGATAACCTGGTGTCGATGGTCCTCATAGGGTGCAGAAGAGCTTGTGATCCCCCACAAACTAACCTAGCTGAGATAGTCCTCACAGGATGCAGAAGAGCTTGTCCCCTGGATGATTCTATATCCAGTCAAGTTGACCAACAGTAACTGCCACCATGTATAATGACTAATTACATAGCTTACATATGAATGGTTTCAAAAATTTATTCCCTAAAAGCAAACATTGTCTGTGCAAACATGTATACATATGTTCTGTCTACTGTGGTGCAGGTATAGATGTCCTCTAATAAGCACTTTTTATGTTTAAATTTGCTGAATGAAAATGAAAACACGAAGCTTCAAAACAAAAAGACAAAGTAGATATTCACAATCTATCATTTCATCAAAAGAAGAGTGAATTCTATTTAAATAGTGAAGCAATGCCTCTTACAGCCTCTGAAATCAATAAAGCAGGAGCAGAAATCACTGTAGCAAATCCTCCTAGAATTTTTTCAAAAACGGAACCACTGTTTTTTTTCATATCCTCGACGTTATGTCTCAATCGCTGTATTTCTCCATTCATTGCCTCAGCTTTCTTCTTAAATCCTTCTTCAAGCAAAGCCTTCTGATTCTAAAACAGTGAACATTAGAGAGAAGTAAATAGTGTAAAATCCCAACATTGTATGAGTTATAGTTTCATACCTTTAGCAAGTGGTCCTTAGTGTAGCCCTACATGATTCCCCTTACCATGAAGATAACCGGCTGAGTTAGGCCTACACATTGTGAGGAAGGATAATTGACACTTCACTGATGTTGATCCATCCTGTCTGTTAGGGCTGTCATGCTAGCAGAGGTGTAAAGACATTGCTACACTCATGCCCACTGAAATGACACTGGTCGGGGTGTGCAGAGCTCAAACCACTGAGATGGTTTAGCAACCACATCACGCAGACAGTGGCAACCTATCAGTTGTTTTAGAAATCTGTTACCATTTTGCTTGCAGCTGGGCAATGAGAGAATCACTCCAATGCCATGTGCTGCTCCAAGCATGCTGTCCACCCTGGAGACAGCTACAGAACCCACAGAAGCTGCTGATTCCCTGTGCTTTTCAGTCTGGACATTTCTTTCAGTTTTATGTCTGCATAGATCATCCTCCAATGGGTGTGTGTGTGTGTGTGTGTGTGTGTGTGTGTGTGTGTGTGTGTGTGAGTTGCCTGGGCCTGGATAACCCAGACCCATTGTTGGCCTCATTAAACTGCCTAGCTGGGGATTTTCTTTAGTGAGTCCTCATGAGTTCCTTTTTAAATATCCTGAACCAGTAAATCAAACTATTACAGTCATTAAAACCCTAAAGGAGCGACTGAAAACCTGAGGGGAGGGGAACCTCCTTAGCAAGAATACATTTTGGTGGTGCTCCCTCTCATGACCTGACTACAAAATCTGTCCTGCTGCCCGGGGTATGAGGACCACCAGGGGGATGAGGAGACCCACCTGCAGCTGCTTGTCCAGCATCGTCTTGTGGTCTTTGATGAGCTGCTCTCTCTCCTGCACCAGCTTCGTTCTCAGTTGCTCTAGGTTTTCCTTGTGACTTCTCTCCTGAGCCTCCATCAGTTGCTGCTGCTCCTTCTGCTTCTGTCTTAGCAGCTCCTGTTCCTTCTCAGCCGCCTCCTTCTGGGCCCGCTCCTCTGTCCCAGGAAGATTCAGGGAGGGAAGAAAGTGATGGAGATTCAGGATGGATGGGGGAGAAAGTGATGGAGATTCAGGATGGATGGGGAAGGAAGTGATGGAGATTCAGGA